ACATGCACACAGACATTATTTCATACACGACATAGTCGTGAGATGCAAGAAACATATGGCAAGAAATCTGTAGTAATTTCTTAACAACAAAAGAATACCCATAACAACAAAAGACAATACTTTATTGAACCTTTTCTGATGAGAAGTGTGCGCTGCAAACGCGAGCATTTTTGATGATCGTTTCTGTCCAGTCTGCTCGTTTTATCGCGTTTAACCACAGCTGTCGTCGTTTTTTTTGTCTGGCAGTGGCAGCAGATATGCGATCAAATTTCTAATTTGAGGCTGTATTACGTCGATTCTGGCACAAGATGATATTTTAAGCTCATTATGTAGACGAATCTGCGCTGGTTTGAATGGGCCGCCTCCAGTTTCCCCTTTGTTTTGCTGCCTCCAGCTAGCACTGTGACGTCGGCTGACCCTAGTTACCTGTGGCTGGCCTGGCCGTGCGTCGCTTAGAAAACAACAGGCCAATCAGAAGAGAGGCTCATGAATATTAATTAGACAGGCCAAAATAGGCCTGTTCTCAGCAGAGCTCGTGAGAAAGGAGCTGTAAAAATATATTGAGATGGTTTTTGGTACTCCTACCGCAAATATATATTCTTAAGGACATCAAAACCTAAAATAAAACTCCAGAAAGGTGTAAAATATGTGACCTTTAAACGACTTTCATTGGTGTAACCTAATGTTTTCAGGTTGATTCTGTAATATTACTTCATATTTTTTGACTTGAACTAAATTTAGATGGTAAGCTCATTTTAGGTTACCTGACAAAACATTTTACAGTGTGAATATGAACCTTGAACAATGCTGAACAATGGGCTTTGTCTCACAAGATAGTGAGCTGCTTTTTGGGCACCATTTTTGGGAATTATGCTTAAAAATGGCTGGTTTTTACAACAATGTAGACTTGAAATTAATTTAGATTGCACCTTTTTGTACATTAAATAGTGCAGAATTAATGGCAGAAGTGAACATTAAATGCAATTTGTTGCATATTGTGTCAAGTGAGTCAAACTGTTCTTAGACATTTTGATAAACCAAATGAAATATTTCACTGAATTACTTGGTCTTAGAGTGCAAAGTAAGCAGCAGTCAGTCAGAGTTTGATCAGCGATGGGCGGCGGAGGACAGCAGACAGACCGGATCGCCGATACCAATGGGAGGTTCGGCACGTACACCTGGGAGGAGGTGCAGAAACACACTAAGTCTGGAGATCAGTGGATCGTGGTGGAAAGGAAGGTTTATAATGTGAGCCAGTGGGTGAAGAGACACCCCGGAGGACTGAGGATCATCGGACACTATGCTGGAGAAGATGCCACGGTAAAACACTCAGTATGAATACATTTACAGTACATTTAACACACATGGAAGAACTTTTATATACTGTACATCACATTACTGCAAAGCAATGTCTGTGTCTCATAATCTAGTGAGCTACCTTCCTAGGCACCCTTTTTCCTTTATGCTTAAAATAATGTGGTAAAATTGTGGATGCTGCACACTGGTGGTGGTTGAG